ACACATTTTAACCCGTTTAATCCCAAATTTTTCCCAGACATGAAAATATCCAAATGATGTGTCTAGTGTTGTCACGGTACCAAAATTTCAATATTTGGTACCAATACCAGTGAAAATCCACGGTTCTCGGTACCAGACCGATTTTTGTTGCACTGTATAGCCCTATCCAAACCTGTTCCAGATTGTAGAAGGAGCTGCTCAATTTCACGTCCGCCTTCCTTCGCGTCACTCCACACAGTCGCACACAGAAATATGTCAACAACTAGACTTTATCGTTATTATCGCGGGAAGACGAATTCTTATCGTGTGGAGAATTTTTACCGGTATATCGCAAACGACAAGATATCGTCCATCCCTACCTAGGACTGTGCAATTAATCGCATGTGATTGTCATCCGCATCTCTTCAGTAAAGCCGGTTCCGTGATTGGTAGTAAATCGCCATCACCTGCTTTCAGATGGAGCGGCATTTAAAGTAGGAGATCTTGGAAAATGCTAACTTTAGCCTGATAGCACTTAAAGCGAACGTCCCACCCTCCCTGCAATCGCCATCTAAAGCCACGCCCCCTGAATGCATGTACGCTCACAGACCAGAATACCAGAGACAACATTACTTCAATAGGCTACATTAGCGGTTCCCAATTCCAGTCCTCGCACTGAATGTGAAGACGTGTGTGTGTGTGTGTGTGAGTGTGATGTGTGTGAAGACGCTGCGCAGCGCAAATCCGTGAATGAATGTTCTGAAGTGAAGTAAACTTCAACGGATTTCTCCTGCTCTGAGAGTAGGGATCAATGTACACTGTGTAGGGATCATATCGATCGGAACACAGTTCATGTTCACTTCTAACGAGTAGGAAAGCCAATTAAAACGCTCGGACCGAGCGTTTTGATTGGACAGACATTTTTTGGCCCTACACCTTCCACACAATATATGAATACAGATAAATACATTTAGACCACTTAACTTAATGATTGCTATCGTGATGTGAAGAGACTTTCAACCAGCATAACAAAAAATGTTTCTGAAGACAATCACCTATTGCACCTTTAA